CTCTCTCTCTCTCTCTCTCTCTCTCTCTCTCTCTCTCTCTCTCTCTCTCTCTCTCTCTCTCTCTCTCTCTCTCTCTCTCTCTCTCTCTCCCCGGCTTTCTTCCAGAGCTGTCAGTGGAGTGCCAGATGTTTAGTATTCTGTTTTATCTACATCTACACTACATCTTTAGCCCTATTTTTGGGCTGCAAAAAGTTGGGACCCAAAAGGAGGGTCACAGTGGGGAAAAATGGGCTGGAGGGTTGCGGCGGACGTCACCCTGTTATTGTATTTGAATCTAAATGCATGCAACAGGGGCTGATAGCATGATGCAAATGCCACTAGGGGACTACAGGTGCTGATGTGGTTGCAAGTAGAGGACAAAAGTGCAGACATGAAAAACAGACATGAATACGATTGCGGACATGAAGACAATCGAAGGGCAGACATGAATGCAATTAAGGGGTAGACATGAATGCAGTTAAAGGATACAGGGGCTGGTATGAATACAACACAAGAAGACTGCTAGGTGGATGCAAGTCCAATGAGGCTACAGGGTGGGTGCGAACGCAGAAGCAGGAACACAGAGCGGGGATGCATACAACTAGAGGACTGCAGAGGCTAATGTGTACATTTTTCTTGAGTGGACTCGCTAAAGTCAGGCCTTTGGCTTCGCCTCGCCCACTTCATCTCCTGAGTAGGTTGATGTTGTCTGGAAGTCGACGGGGGAAGCTGGTCACTTGATCCTGTGAAACCCCGCGAAATAGGTACGAGAACTCAAAGCAAGTAGTGAGCCATGCAATAAGCAACTACTTCAGGGGCACTAGAGGACTATGGAGCTTTGCGACGGACATGTGTCCGATGTGGTTTATACATGGCTGCCATGCCCCGGCAGTTGTATTGTAATTGCAACAAGCGATGCCAGTACACTTATGGTGCCAATGTGAATTCATGTACGAGGATAGTGAATTCATGTACGAGGATACAGTTAGACGTCTGGGCTAATGTGAATACAACTGATGGACTATGGGGCTTCGCTACTCGATGTGTGCGATGTGCGATGTGGTTGGTACACAGCCTGCCTCACCCTTAAACCACCAGTACAAGCCCATGCATTGGCTGTGGGCCCCTCACTAACAGTTTCCGAGGCCCGAAACGCGACGCCGGCCATTGATGGAATTTTGCTTCGCTCACTTTTTGGGAGTAGGTGACAGACAATTTCTGCACAAGGCTTGGAGCCTGGGCCCATGTACTAGTTAAGTTGTATACGATTCTCGACGTGCTCAGGTTTGACTACAAATAGGGGGCATGTTCGAAGGGCCTGAGCTGAAATTAAATATACCTACAAGACCTGTTCTAACTTCTAAGCTGATACACCCTGGGTCTGAGCTGGAAAACGATTTCAGCTGAACACACGTATATATGAACACATTGCTCTGCATCACATGCGCTTCAATATAGCATGGCACACACAATAGCTGAGCTCCACGTATATATGAACACATTGC